GACTCCAGTCCCCCTGTGACCCTAGTGAGGATTAAACTGTGTATAGATAATGGATAGATGGACAATCCATCCAGTCGTTGAATCCTGAGACCCATATTATATTTTTTGCACAGTCATGAAAAGAATAGTTTGCTTTCTTTACTAGAGTTAGATTAAGAATTCTATTAAATTACAGTTAGTGGCTAATTAGCATGGTGACTAGGAGTCGAACGATTACCAGCTTAGCTGATTATCGAACCTGATATTGAACATTTTTCCGATTATTGATATTGTTACATTTTTATTAGAAATTTTAAAAAAAGACAGATTTCTAATTATTTATTTATTTATTTGAAATTTGATGTCTTTCGCTCTGATGCAGCCACCTCTGTCTGATCGGCTAAATGCTGTGAATAGTAAGTTTTAATTCAACATGCCTAACGTGTTACTAAACAAAGGCATTTAAACAAAGTTTTGTGTTGGGGTTTGTGTGGTTCTAAATTTTGATGCCAAGATTTGACATTTTTACAAATGTGAAATCAATTTAAATCAATTTTAAATATCGGTTATTGGTTTCTTTGATTGCCAAAAAAGGTATCGTCCTCTGAAAAAACCCAAAACAAACCAACAACAACAGCAAAAACAAACATGTCAGTCAACCCCTGTAGCTGACACAGATTTTGTACTTTCAAGACTGAGGCAGGTTAGCTGTTTCTAGCCTTTGTCAGCAAAGCTAAGCCAACCTGTAGCTCACTGTAGCATGTGCTAATGATGTTATCATTTAACTTTATCACAGTAAAAGCTGTGCCTTTAAGATACCTTAAACGTTTTCAACAGGAGAGAGACTATCTGGACGGATTCTTCACCAGTCTCCAAACAACAACAGGAAGTGAAAAGCTAGTCTTAAGCTAAACTTTGTGATCTGTACAACTGAATTACAAAACTGTAGGTCGCTATAACATTTGTCACCAGAATGTACATGTGCTGTGGAAGTTCTATTCTCTGTCTTTTATAGCCTTCACGTGTCACCCAACCTGTGAGAATGTGGATCCAGTATGCTAAGATAAACCCCCCCTAATTCAAAATGCAGATAAGTTATGGGAGAATTTCGAGCTGCCCTTTCTAACACATCAGAACAGTTTGTCAGGTCATGATTAAGAAAGCTTTAACCATGCAGATTACACTTTATAGGCCCGTATATGACTGTTCCTTGAGGAGTTCACAGAAATTTAAGATGGGAGCAGCGATAAAAGCACTTTAATGACGGGGAAGATAAGATTTGCTGTGAGTGACTCATTCCTAGCTCCACACTGATTCTCCCATCCTCTCCCCCTCTCCCCGTCTCACTGCTTTGAAATAATCAGCACGCTTCTTGAGCAAATATGGGCATTGCAGAAGAGCAGCACGGATCGAACATGAAGAAATGTTGTAATGGATGACCTCTGTACACACAAGCCAAACAACTAATCAAACCTATGCATGGGATCATCCGCGAGAACTGTGGGAGTGTTTAAAAAGCTGCTAATCATTTCTTTTATCAGTTTCAACAGAATTAATAAAGATGTTTTCGATGTTTAGCGTATCTACTCACTGTAAGACCTAAAGATGAATGACCCTAAGGCTGTGATCATACCAGACAGTCAGCTTCTGTGGCTTTCAATCAGAACTTGATCACATCCATTTTCATTTGTGATTGGATTACTGAGAGGGGGGGGGGGGTTTGTCAACATTTAATCATTAAGCGAATCATCATAGAATTGTGCACAGAAGCTTCCAGGAATGTTCTGGTGTTTGCCTGCTGAAGGAAGAATAATTTTATGAGTCCCCACTATAATGTGAGTGTAAGCTTTACAAGTTCACCTACATGGGGTTTACTGCTTTGCTTGAACTTGGGATCGTTGACCTATTGCTATGTACTGGCACTTTCTCTTCAAATACAAGACTACTGTTTGCTGTGTGACATGTAAGGGGCGGCTGTTTGTGCAAGCGCTGAATTTATTTTGGTAAATGATCAGATTTCAGACAAAGTGTTGCAAAAGTCACATGTGAAATCCATCCAAGAACTGAGGGCACGTGTGCTTTTTGACCAACATTGTATCTTTCTGACTCCAAATGTAGCACATTTAACTTTACATGTAAAATTTTGAATTCAGCAGCAAATATTGGACTCCTTGACAATTTTTTTAAAATTTTTTTTATTAGAGCTTGGAAATGACAGTTTTACGTATGAAATGTTCATGGATACCTTTTTACCTTCTCCTTTCGCCTGCCTCTGGTAGCGCTCTAGTAATTGCAGAGTATAAGCTCTGTCGTGAAAAAAAGACCAACTGTAGCAGCTGTTTTTATTTCTAGTGGATCCAGCAGAACATTACTGTCTTTTACTACTTTAACAAATAACTTGTTTATCACTGTAGCTTAGGGCTGTCAGATCAAATTTTCTCCACATGGTTATTGTGGCCAAGAAAGTTAATTAAATTAGTGTAATATACATTTAAACATTTTGGAGGAAAAAAATGAATGGAGCTACAAGTGTTCAACCCTCCCAATTAATAACTAAAATAGGATAAACATCATAATCTCTTGCTACCCATTAAGAATACTGCTGCAGCCCCTGTATATTAAATATACACTCAGTAACCTGAAAAAAATCCTGTGTACCTCTGTGTGTACCTCTAACACAGCTTTGCTGCGCCCGTATTCCTCAAACATACATCAATTAATATCTCACCCAATGTACTAAATATTTAATTTGACACAAAATATGCAGGCTGTAATCCAAAAAATCAGGCATATATCGGACAGATAAAGTCACACATAAGTTTGTATTATGATGCACTGATATGGACTAAACACTTTAATAAATAATCTAATAATGTATTAATATAACTTTGGCCTTTTCAGACCTAATAATTCCCTTTTAATGGTTTAAGTACATTTAGCTGCTTAAACTGTCATATTTTTATTTCATTACATTTTTGAATTTGACAATTTTTCACAGTATTGCTACTTGTCCTAAAGTAAAAGATCTCAATATGTCCTAATTACATGTGGAAAATCAAGTTCACACACAAAATGACTCTTAAAATGACAAAACATACATGAAACTGAATATAATAACTGCTTTTTTTTTTTTTTTTTTAAATCATGTCAAAATTTTCGTTAATTCAGTAAGTCTTAAATATCTTTTCAGTGATTGTCCCTTTAAAGAGTGCTTTCAGAAGAAAAAAAAAACTGCTGTTTTTATAATGGAGGACAGTTTTGTTTTTGACTGATTCTCACTTAGGCTGATTCAGAAGGCCTCGTCATGATTACGTCCTCTGAAACATGCTTTGGATGAAGAATAACAGAAATGAATCTGACTTTAGTCGTCTACAGAAAACTTCTCTTCCCTTCCAACTACATAATTTATCCTTCCCAGTTATTTTTAATGTTTTTCAATTTTTCTAAAATGATTCGTAAACCTACTCTGAGTCATTGAGGCTGTCTCTCTTAGGAATAGCTGAATTTCCAGCAGCGTTGAACTTTGGGATCAGCCTCACGTGCACCTTGCATTTTCACAAACAATGAAGGCTTTTACATAAAGGCATCACTTTGCTTTAGCAAGAGTTGTTTCCTCGGTTAATTATGGCAGAATTAACTCAGATTTACCGGCTACGTATTACACATGGAAGTAGGTCTGAGTATGGCAGACTGATGTGATCTGACTTGTGGGTTTCCTGTGGTGGAAAAAGTATAAAAATCCTCCACTTTAGTACATTTTAAATGCTTGAGTTTTGCTTTTGCATTTTTACACAAGGATATTTTCTCAATTTGACACTTTTCTCCATAGAAAACTGTACTTATAGAATCAAATGTCAGAGTACTTTTTATACACTAGGAACTCTTTTACAGTGTTGTCTTATCATTAGCAATGAATTATGGTATAAGAATTGTTTTAATGTGGCAATAAGTCAGGTGCAGATAATTTTAAACTACTTTGTACACTGTTAGTTTAATCTACTGTCATATATGATATGTTATAAACTAATCATATGTTTCGAAGTGAAATCTGCACATGTAAAGTAGATTGTAAATACAGTTGTTGGTTTGGACGGATTGCTAAACAAGATCTCTTCATATTTCTGCCAAACAAATCCAATCGAATACTTTAGTATTTTGTATTTTATCTGCATTGAAATTAAGTCAGATGCCTTTTTTTATTGATGTGAACTAAATATTGAAGCTAAGGTGTAGTTTTGGAGACAACCAGCCGCTAAGGAGAGTTTTGGTTGAGCTGCAGAGAGGGAGAAGGAGGTTGTCTGTAAAAAACAACAACAACAAAAAACCTAAAATGTAAATATTCAAGTACTACTACTTAAATGTACCAGCAGATACATAAAGATAAACTGAACTTTCAGTTGCTTTTTACCTTGATATAGATGCTGTCATTGCTTTGCATGTGTTTTCAGCATGCAGTAGCACTGCTGCATGCTGATGTCACATGCACACCATAAAATGATCGTTTAAAGAGGTGGAACTGTGATTTAGCAAAGGACTGAACTGATATAGCTCTTGTTGAGGAATTGTTTATCCATTGCTGACAGAGAACCACCATGCAACGACGGCAGATATCGAAGTTGCGCTATCTCTTGTTAAAAAAAAAAAAAGAAAAAAGAATAAAAGAAGAGAAAAAAACAACAACCCTGTGATTCACCACTGAAGGGGCTAGTTAACCATCAACCAGGCAGACACTCCACCTCTCCTCTGGTTAGCGGTATGAGGGAAGGAGGAGAAGGAGGCGAGCTCTGCTGTCAGTCACTGCTCTCCTCTCTGGCACCAGTAGGTCCCCATCACACTCAACTGGGCCAAGGAGAAGTCCTGTTACTGGGCGGAGCTAGGCCCAAAAAAGAGGGAGAGGGGGGATTTGTAGAGGTGTATGAGGGTGTGAGAAAGGAAGGAGGAGGAGGAGGAGGGGGGCACATTAGCTTCTTGGACAAGTCTTTCTGCCCCACTGTCAGGTAGTTGAGAATTTGTTTGCCCAAACGCTGGTAGACATGGACATGGCAGACTACAGCGAGGCTCTGGACCCAGCCTATACCACGCTGGAGTTTGAAAACATGCAAGTGCTCCCTTTGGGCACAGGTGAGTCACATATATGCAACTCTGGCATTGAACTTTGAAACGTTTACTGATTTAAAATTTTGGTCAGGAGAGGACAGAGGGAGTTCTGGCGTAAGGTGATTAAAAAAAACAAACAAAAAAAAAAAACAGGGGTCATTTGTCCATCTGCTCCTGCTTGCAGAGAGGTGATCCCATGTAGTGGTCTTCTTTTATCACCTCAGAGTGCTATAGTAACACATTAAGAGATTTTGTTTTATGCTGTACTCTCAATGCACTCAGGTCGTTTGGTCTAAGCAGTTTGAACCTGTCTCAGCTTGTACAGTGATGTGGTGTCAGACTGATTCCAGTGGATTGATATTCATTCTGTGATGAAGCAGTAGTTTGAGTATCATGATCGCCCTTCTCTTGTTTCAAACGGCCTGTTCCCACAGAGTCTACACTGAAGAAAACGAATGCAGCTTTTTGATATGTGCTTGCAATGACACCAAGTATTTATACAGGCAGTCTCCCATGACGTCTGGCTGTGATCCTGATTCTAAAATTTCCAGTGAGACGAAAAAAAAGAAGCGCCTTTAAAACGCTTTCATCGCTTACTTCCACATTATAACATGTACAACAACATCTCCTTATGAGTCACTCAGCCATTTTTCTGTAGCATACATGTCCAAAGCATGTGTCATGACGTGGTCTATGATTGATAGAGCCAGTCTGGTGACTGTGGGGGGGGTGGGGGTAAAAAGAAAACCGTCTCCACTGATTGCTTTTTCAGAGGTAATCAAACCTACATCACTTATGCTTTGTTGACTCTGTCTGAGCTACTCAGCAGCAATAGGTTCTCATGAAGGCCAGTTTTGATCTGCTGTCAATAGAACCAATCTCTGATCCACTCCAACCGTTCACACCTTTGCAAATGAAACCAGCTTTACAATGCGCCAAGTAGAAACACTATTTTATAGCCCTTGAATTAGTGTTTCTACATGCTGCCATCTGATTCAGCTTTTATAAAAACACGTGATGTAGTTTCAGGTCACCTTGTTATACATATGAACCTTAATGACATAAAAGCATGCTGACCTGATGAAACATTTTCCTCTCTCTCTCTCTCTCTCTGCTTGTGTCAGACTCCTCACCGGCTGAAAGCACCAACATGAGCGCCACTGGCCACCTGGCAGCAGGCAGCTTGTGTGCCATTTGTGGTGACAGAGCTACCGGCAAACACTACGGAGCCTCCAGCTGCGACGGCTGCAAGGGCTTCTTCAGACGCAGCGTTCGCAAAAACCACATGTATTCGTGCAGGTGAGGACGGATCTGTAACTGAAGAGAGAGAGATAATCAGTAAAGTTTTGTTTTTCTGCCACTGAAACATTGCACGTCTAGTCACTGGAACTAATCCCAAACTCTGCACCAGTGTTTGTGATTCATTAGCGTCACATCTTCACAACAAATTTTTTGCTTTAAAAAATTATTTTATTTTAATTAAACAAACATTTAATGAGTTTTTGCAGTTCTTATTGCTTCGCTGCCCACACAAACAAACTTATTCAACTCTCCAGGTTCAACAGACAATGTATTGTGGACAAAGACAAGCGGAATCAATGCAGATACTGCCGACTCAAGAAATGCTTTAGAGCTGGCATGAAGAAAGAAGGTGAGAGACTTTTATCTTTTCAAAGTGAACTGATTAATCTTCATTATAACTCAGTCTATGTGTGTTTTTTTTTTTTCTTGGTAAAAACAGCCTGAAAAAAAACAGAACTGAATTACCCATTTAATCAGCAAATCACTGCCACAGGTTGGGCTGTCCCCACTGAATTGATACGACTCGTCTCAGTGTGTTGCAATACCCCGGAGAGTACTACTTTGTTAATGTTCACTCCACAGAGCGCTGAAGTCTCTGACCAGCTTATGCTGAGCAAACATTTCCAAGCAATAATAGGCATATACTGATAAACATGACAACCTTGGAGGACTTGTTTTTCTTTTAAATGACTCCATGTACGGCCTTCGTGCAACAAAGGAATTAAGAAAATGTGATACTTTTCTTCTTTTTTTTTTCTTGCATTTTCACCTTGTTTAGCTCCATCAAAATTTTGCTCTGCAAGCACCAACTACATACTACTGCAGCACTGAAACTATAAATCTATGTGTTTTTAGCTGTACAGAATGAAAGAGACAGAATCAGCACCAGGAGATCCAGCTATGAAGACAGCAGTTTACCCTCCATCAATGCACTCATCCAGGCAGACGTACTTTCAAGACAGGTAATTATCTCTGGCACTCACATCTAACTGCTATTAATCATCCGTATCAAGGCATCAAATGACCTCACTTGCACACTTCCCTGTGTAGATCACATCTCCTGCTCCTATACTGAACGGCGACATCAGGACTAAAAAGATCGCCACCATCACAGATGTGTGTGAATCCATGAAACAGCAGCTGTTGGTCTTAGTGGAGTGGGCCAAGTACATCCCAGCCTTCTGTGACCTGCCCCTGGATGACCAGGTAAGGCTCATACACAGACACAATGTACATAGTGGTATAGACACTCTGGTCACTCATCAACCAGTTGACTCAAAACCACAGTGTGGGCTGAAGCAGCACATAGCTGTGGACCTGTCCCTAAATCTGTCCTTCCCCTATAAGACAAAACTGTAGCAGGAAAAAAGGGGATAAATTACACATCTTTAAGCACAGCAGCGGTTTTCACCACTCCAGCCCTTAAACTTTTCAACCAGAATGGTTAATGTATTTTAATCTTGAGTTAGAATATGATGAGCTGGTTTTAAAGTTCCTGAAAAAAATGCAGAATCATTAACAGTGGGATCACTGGGCCTTAGTAACTCATTTGCTGATGCAGTGAGAGCCTATGTCTCCTGCTCTGTCTTCAATTTAAACAGGGAGCCTCACAAAGACAGAGATACAACTATACAACACCAAAGCCTTACAGCTAACATGTATCTGCATGCAGTTAATTGTCTTTTAATTCACTTTGTTTTAGGTGGCATTGCTGCGAGCTCATGCAGGAGAACATCTTCTGCTCGGTGCTGCAAAGAGGTCCATGCTATACAAAGATATTCTTCTGTTAGGTAAAGCTGACACATGAATGTTACTACACTTACTCTGCAAATATTCTATCCTCAGTTTTTTATGTTTCAAAAGTATTGCCTGTAAAACCTAGAATGTGCTTCTCCTGCAGGAAACGACCACATCATTCCCAGAAACTGCCCAGAGTTGGAGGTAGGCAGGGTAGCAGTGAGAATCCTGGATGAGCTAGTGCTTCCCTTCCAGGAGCTGCAGATAGATGACAATGAATACGCCTGCTTGAAGGCCATAGTTTTCTTTGACCCAGGTACTCTTACTGACTAAACTTTTGGATTGTTTAAGCTTTTTTTTCAAGCCATTAACAGTGAAAAAGACTAAAGCTAAGATGTGTTCTATTTCCTTTTGTAAACACTCCTGTTTTCTGTTTGCCCACAGATGCTAAAGGTCTGAGTGACCCCGTGAAGATCAAGCGAATGCGGTATCAGGTCCAGGTCAGCCTGGAGGACTACATAAACGACAGGCAGTATGACTCTCGAGGCCGCTTCGGTGAGCTGCTCCTGCTGCTGCCAACGCTACAGAGCATCACCTGGCAAATGATCGAACAGATCCAGTTTGTCAAGCTTTTTGGCATGGCCAAGATTGACAACCTGCTACAAGAAATGCTTCTTGGAGGTGAGCTCTTTTCAGATTATTTATCTTGATACTGATCCATATCACAAAACTAGAACAGGACTTCTTGACCTGAAGTGTTGGGTTAGGCAACAGAGGGACATGTGTTGATCTCGTTCAGATGGATATGCTGTAGTAAATTAAGACTGACAGTATATTTTTGGGTTTTGTCTCTCAGGTTCTGCTAATGAAGCTCCACATGCACCTCACTCTCTGCACCCGCACCTGGTTCAGGAGCACCTCAGCAGCAATGTTATAGTAGCCAGCAGCATGCCAACGCCAATCCACAATGGTCAAATCTGTAAGTACAAAAGACTGTAGTGCAAAGTGTGTCAACTGCTGGCCTCTGAGATTCACAATCTGTCTTCGTCTTAAACTTTGTTGGGTTTTTTTTGTTGCAACATACAGTTAAACCAAAAAAAAAAAAAAAGGTTTGTTCATCCAAGTTTGTTTAAGGCTATCTGTAAATGAACTGAAACCAATTATACTTAAATGAGGGGAGACCATCAACTTTCACTCACCCAGCTCCATGTGCAGCCCAGTCAGGTAGCTGGAAGGACAAACAGGCTTGGCAGAATAATCCTCTAAGTTCTTCACGCAAACTAATCTGGCTTACTTTGTCAAAGAAAACTTCTGTTATTCTTTCTTAACATGTTTAATGCGCTGAGAAATTTCACAAAAGTGCTTACACCTTATCTGAAAATTGTGTTGCCCCGAGACATGTTATACCACAGAATGGTAAATATACTCCTGCTTATGCTGCAGTTTCTCTCTCTAACCTGTCCCTCTCTTTTTTTGTGTTCTACTTTTCAGCCACTCCTGAAACCCCAATCCCATCTCCACCTACTGCCTCCAGCTCAGAACATTATAAAATGGCTCAGGGGGTCATAGCAACGGTGCCCAAGCAGCCGACCTCCATCCCTCAGCCTACCATTACAAAGCAAGAGGCCATCTAACAACCCCTTTATTCCTTATTCCTTCAGTTTTTTTTTATTGTGTTAAACCAGGGTCTTTATATGTAAGTTTATACATGATCAGCATTTAAGCTGTTAACTTGACTGAAACATTACCATAGCTAAATACATAGAATGTAATTACAAGTATGTTCCTTACAGATTTTAGTCTTCAGGGATCTATTTGTGCATATATGCAGCTGCAGTTGAGCTCTGTGGTTCAATGAACGCCAGATAAAACTATATAAAAGTATAACTTTCCAGGCATACTTCTGTTCTGTGAGAATGACTCTTAGAAATACACTGTTGTATATATAGTTTTTACTGGGAAACATCACTTCCTTTAGCATTGATGTGTGCAGTAAGGCTTATGTTAGACATGGTGACGCGATCATGTCAGTATTTTGTTAATGTTACAACAGGCCTTACGTTGTCTAATATTTAGTGTTGCACAGGTTTTTATTTTATGTTTATTAGTGATAAAATGAGCTCAGAAAAAAAGCTAAAGGAAATCCCTTGAATGAGTTCAGCGTTTTTTTTTTTAGGTTTCTTTGTGATAAAAATGAAAATATCTGTGGTTTGTTTTACATACTGGAATATTCATATCGACAGGAGTAAAATTTAACATGAAAAAATTTAAACCAAAACAGCTAAGCTCAGTATGTATGGTGATCTCTGTCGTGCCACTTTTTAAAAGTCACAAGCAGACACACTGAGGAAGTTTCCCAATAATATGTTGTGTTGGTTTTTAAAAAATATATATATTGTATTTTTTGTTTAGTACTTTGTCACGGTTTGACTGATAGAATAAATTGTGCCTTGTAACCTGTACTGCCTTACAAAGCCAATGTTTCGCATGACAATGTGAAGATGACTTAATAAATCTTAAGGTCTATTTTTACATTTTCTGCAGAGTGTATTTTATACTATGATCACAAGAGAGTTCACTGGGGAACAAAGTGGACTGCATGTTCTCAAAATGATAAATGGAAAGTTTCTGGAGGAAAAATAGTGGGTCCAACGTGGCAGTGCTGATACACTGATAAACTGTCATAAAATCATTATAGATAGCACAGCTTCAACACAGAGAGAGGAGGAGCACTTCAAAGACGCATTTCTACAATCCAAATGAAAAAAAAACAAAGTTGATGTCGTGACTGCATTTAGAGTTTACTACATTTTTATGTGACATCCAAAACTCTGACACCACATTGAAAATCTGTCATATTATTGTGTAGAAATAATCGGTTTGAGGATTCTGAAACATTTAAAAACAAGACATGAAAAATGAAAAGGAAGTATTTTAGACTCTGTCCTCTTCTTTTTTGGTCAGCAATCAAACATCAGCAGATTTGTGACAGTGACCATGTTTACTCCTTGGTACAGATGGTCAGATTTCCTCGAACTGTACCCTTCTATTGAAGCTGTGCTCAGATGACCTTCAGGTGATCGACTCTTCAGATGTTTGTCCAACTAAATCAACTTCTAGGCATTGTTCATCTGTTAGAATTACGGCTGTGCCACAAGGTTCAGGCAGAATATTGCTCAATAAGAAGCATTATGATAATGGAAAACAAGGCCTCAGAATTAGGCCAAAAATACAGTGGATGACAACTAAAAGGTCCTATTTACCAATGAATCCCACTTAGATATTATTGTCCGAAGGGGGAAGGAGACCAACAGGACAGAGAAACATAAAGAAACCCACAGTGTTAATGGAATATTCAAGTCCAGGTTGGACACCTCCAGTGAATTAATACCCTGACCAAGGAGACTTCACTCTTCGGAGACAGGTCTTACTCTCTGTTTTACATCTTTGTGACGTAGGATTCATACTGCAGCTGGATAATGAAACCAAACACACGTCAAAGCTTCGACTTGAAGACCAAGAAGTCATGTCATGGCTCTGTGGACTATCATGGATTTTCCTCCACTGTTACCTGACCTCAACCCAACGGACCATTTAGAGTGTAGGGTAACTTAAAGACACAGAAAACCAAACATTCCTGACATGACAAGAAGCTCTTTCGGTATTGTCAGATAATGCTGGGATAACATTGGTTATCAGGTTTGAACAAACTTGTGGAGTCTATGTTGTTCGAGTGCAAGATCTTGCCAGATATTCTAAAATGTATGTACAGTTTCCTGTCATTCAACTTTCCGTCAAATTGTTGATATCATATTTTTGTAGTGAAAAACACTGTATTCAATGAAGAACAAATGCAAAATGTAGGTATTTTCTAATGTTCTCTGCCTTTTAGACCCCATTACTTGTAACTATAGATTAAAATAACAGTGGTCTGATACAAGTGCAGGCCCCATGATTAAATGTTTCATTTAATTTTACACTTATTTTGCAGGGACAGCACATTACAGTAAGTACTCTACATAAAACGACACAGCAGTGGCGGGTCTGATCTCCAACAACACCCACCTGGAGGACTGGTGCAGAGACAACAGCCTCCTCTGGAACGTCAGAATCAGAATCAGAAACAGATTTATTGCCAGGTATAGTTGACACAATACGAGGAACTTGTTCTGGTCGGTTGGTGCAACAAAACACCAATAAAGCAAGACGAAAGAGCTGATTGTGGACTACAGCAAGAAGCAGCAGAGGACATACTACCCACTCGGGATCAACGGGACAGAGGTGGAGCAAGTGGGGAGCTTCAAGTACCTGGGTGTTAACATCATGCAGGACCTGACGTGGTCCTGTCACATCAACACTCTGGTGAAGAAAGCTCAACAGCGTCTCTACCTCCTCCAGTGCCTGAGGGACTTTAAGCTCCTTCTCATGGTGCTCAAGAACTTTTACACCTGCACCGCTGAGAGTGTTTTTGCTGGGAGTATCAACACCTGGATGGGCAGCAGCACTCAGCAGGACTTCTTGGCCTTGAGGAGTGTGGTCCGCTCAGCTGAGTGCACCATCAGAAGCACCCTCCCCAACCTGCAGGACAATTACACCAAACGATGCAGGTTAAAGGCCAGGAAGATTGTGAGTGAGCCCACCCATCCCAGCCACAGACTGCTCTCTCTGCTGCCATCAGGGCAGCGTTACCGCTGCCTGAAGGCAAACACAGAGATGATGAGTAGGAGCTTCTTCAATCAGGCTGTCTGCCTGCTGAACCTAAGACAATAGACGCAATAGACAGTCAAACCAGTCACTTTGCACTTTGCATATATACATGTATATAGTATTATTATTATTTTCTTTATTTGTTTTATCCCCTTTTTGCACTGTTTGGAAATTTGATTTATTTATTTCTGCTATTTCTATCTCTCTCTCTCATCCTCTCTCTCTCTCTCTCTCTCTCTCTCTCTCTCCATACATATATATATATATATATTTGATGTGGAACAGGTACACAACACATTTCACTGCGCGTTATAACATGTATAACTGTGTTTGTGACCAATAAAAGACCTTGAAAGGGCCTACAGCAATAAGAGGTCAGAGATATATGAATACGAACCTAACCCTCTACCTGTGTGAGATTTTCAAAAATGCAATAAAAATGCAATAAAAAAATACAATCAGTAACAGATAATGAGAATAATAAACTAGATAATAAATAGCAGATAATCATTGGTGACAATTCTATGCTGACTTTAACCAAACTTTGATACAAGTTTTAATCAGTGCAAAGCTTTTTGAGTCTCTAATGTTTGTGGGGATGGAATTCAACTTGCCCACAACTTTAACTGAGAAAGCATCAGAGTAGAAAATCAAACCTGAGGAGATTATATGTATATACATATTTTAGGATATTGCAGTGATTATGATCCCTTGACTTAAAAAAAAATAAAATAAAATAAAAAAATCTAATACTTAAAGGCTTTTCCAATAAGTACATGGCATACCCAGTTTTCCACAAAAATTGTTTTTTTTTAAACCAAAAACATCAACCCCTTTTAGAAATTATGCATTAGATATATCATTTCCAACGTCTGAATTTTAAATTTGAATTAAAAAAAAAAAAACATACCTGATAGATGTTGACACATGTCCTCTATAATGACAGGGATGCAGCCTCAGCAACGTGTAGGGAAATTCTGCCATCTGCCGCTTTGACGTGTAATTGATGCCACTAAAACAGGAGCAACGAAGACACGTCGGCCACATCAGCCTCTTATTTAAAGTATTTTGATAAATATGTAAAATAGACAAAAGGGCGAATAGGCTATAACTTGTTCAGCAAACAAAGCTGTAAAGATATCTGCGACAGGCTCTGTTTTAATCTTTATACATAATACACCGCGGAGAATATAGCCTTTGAACTAATTTTAGTACCAAGAGCAAGAGTGGAATTCCTATTGCTGTTGTTTTGAATGATGTGAGATTCAAGTACACTGACGCCGTAAGAAAAGCCACAAACGTGGAATTATACTGTTTGTGTTCATTAAATATTGGTTGCTTCTTCGGTTAGTCAACTAGGAAAGCAATGTTTATAAAAAAAATATATATTCAATAATAATAATAATAATAATAATAATAATAATAATAACAACAACAATAATAATAAAGATGTTCTTACAGAAGTCCAGGAAACTACCCTCCTTCTATAAAATGTTAAATACGAGTGCGTAAAATGTCTGGTGGCGAAATTCCCAGGGACACCTGGAGGCAGCACAACCATCAAAACAACAGACGCACATCTTGACGGCTCTGAGCGTCACTGCGCATCACGTGCCAGTAATAGCCCAATGAAATAGCTCCGTGTCCAAACCCGGAAAAAGGATTTTCCTGGCAGGTCGGTTGTGATTTTTAACACAGGGGTTTCGTTGTTTAGAATCGTTGCGGCAATTTTTTTGAAGCCATTTATAACGTGGCAATGGGTGCCCATTAAAGTCATCTATGTCTGCCGTAGATGGTTAATGCTAAATGCATTTTCGGGTTAGTATTCAGTCATTCGTCGGATTTCTGTCGCATTGGTTCTGTCTCAGGGTCAGCTTGTATTAGCCGCTCAGTCTCTGATTCATGACTGAGAAAATAGATGCAGTGTTTGCTCTGTCGTGGTGTCGTAAAGAAACCCTCACACTTTGCTTAACAGGGAACATGCTGTTTTCAGTATTTATTGTTTATGTTAGGTTTGACGGTCACTGGTCAATTTTCAGATTTTGGTTATGTTTTGCTTCCATAATATGTCTACTTTCAGCCTAGTGTAAGGATAACGCATTAAGGTCTGTACTTTTACTATACTTTGTATCTGTAGACTGCAGTTACAATGTACATCTTTAAAGGTCTGTTTCACAAAATGACTTTTTACTGTTACTCTTTGCCAGAAATCTTCAATTTAGCATCACTTACACACGTGGACAAAACCGTTGGTACCCCTCGGTTCACGAAAGAAAACCCCACATTGTTCACAGAAATAACTTGAATCTGACAAAAGTAACAATAAATAAAAATTCTATGAAAATTTAGCAATGAAAATCAGACATTGCTTTTGAACCGTGGTTCAGCAGAATTATTGAAAAAAAAACAAAAAACTAATAAAACAGGCCTGGACAAAAATGATGGCACCCCTAGAAAAGGCTGAAAATAATGTGACCATAGGGACATGTTCAAGCAAGGTGTGTCCTCTAATTAGCATCACAGGTGTCTACAAACTTGTAATCAGTCAGTCGGCCTATTTATAGGGTTACAA